AAAAGAGTTCCCTTTCTAATTGGAAATAAAACACAGGACAAGACATGCCCTACTTCTGGACATGCTGCCTAGGGCTGCAGTCACCATCTTGCAGTTGTTAAGCGATACCCCTGAGGAAACACCAACCCCCAAGGATGATGTGGCAGAACGATGGGAAGAGCCACCCCATGATGACCTTCAGGTCATCCCAGAGCCACTGATCTGACCCTGGGACCGCCCACCTTCTGGGTATCTTGTTAGTGACAAATAAACCTTTTTACAGACTATGCCTCTTCCCTGGAGAAAAATCACCAACTGACAGAAAGATCATGAGGCAGAGCTGGACCACACCAGGCCAACAGAGGACAAGCAGTAATTGGTGGGAGGGGGAGGGGGGCGGGGCGGGGAATATGGCAAAGCCAACTGACCAAAGAGGAGTAGAGCACAAACATTCAAGGGACGCACAGGTATGAACCCTGCCCGCCTGATCCTTCCAGCTGCCTTATTAGTTTCTATTCTAAGCCACATACATTTAAAAAAAAAATAATAATTTAAGTGAGTCTCTGAGGTATAAAGCAGTGTGTCTCAAACTTTAATGACAATATGAATCACTGCGAGATGGTTCAGTGGGTAAAGGGACAAGGGGGTGGCAGGTCCCATATTCTGCCCTTTTCTAAAGACACCAAGCAGCACGTAAACTACCAGGGGCTGGCAAAGTTGCTGGTCCACAGACCACGATTTCAAGTCTTCTAGAAGGACCAATCTAAAACCAATTAAAAAGTACTGGTGGATCTGTTCACTACTTTGGATTCCATTTTCATATAGGTCTGACCTACTATGGAATGTGTATGCCCCCAGATTATAAAAGGACTCTAGGGCTGCACAATCCAATATGCAGACAGGCTATCTCTGTCCAGATTCAAAACTTCACATCCTGTCCTGGTATCCTGGAATGTTTATATGAACTTTTGACCCACCCTAAAAGTACACCGTTCATAGGTTGCTGATGGCCATAATTACTCTAAAAGACACCGAATGCTATAACATTCAGGAAACTTTCTCCAAAGGCAGGCATTCCCCCCAACCACCATACAGAACCTCAAAAGAGATCTACAAATCTTAATATAAGTGGTTTTCTGTAACACGTTTTGAAAAACTAAGAACAATGATGACTGCCTTTGGATCAAAAATATTTAAGAATCTTTTTAGTAAGTATAGAAATTAGGTTCATATTTCATACCACACACTAAGAAATGTTGCAGGTGAATTCAAGTTAAGCCTAAGATATAAATCAAACCGTAAACTTACTGGAGAAGATAAAGGTGAATATCATTTGATCTGAGGTTTTAAAAAAAATGCACTTCTAGGGATAAAAGGAAAACAAGAAACCCAAACAGGAAAGACGGTTAATTACAATCCTTTTAAAGTTTTTGTCTCAAAAAGCACCAGAAACAGCATTTAAAAAACAAAGCGAAGAAAATGCCACAAACGATGCAAAGGGCTTTAAAAAGGTCAGTATATATGAAAAGCACTAAAATTCTAACAGGAAGGGGAGAGAAGAGCATAGAATATGAACAGGGTATGGTAAGGACACCCAAGGTGATCTCCTGAGTGTGTGGGAAGGAAGTATTAGTGTTATTTTTTTAACCTGACCCTTAAAAAAAAATCTCTATTTGGGGCTATGTTTTATAATTTACATATATTAGGACAATACTGTATTTATAAATATGAATAAATGGAAATGAATTTTTTTTCCAGATGGGGTAGAGATAAAAACTTTGGAGACCATACAGAAGAATACTAATTTAAAAATGTTTAGCCTCCCACTAGGCAAAGAAATGCAAAAGTGGTAAAAAGACATTTTCTCCTAAGAAATTAGTAAATCTAGTTTTTTTTTTTTTAAATCTTAGTGATTGTTGTTGATCAGGATAGACCTCAAACTCTGCCAGTGAAAATATAAATGAGTAAAATCTTCCTGAAAAGTGGTTTGGAAAAAATGTGTCAAAGGCTTAAAGATATTAATACCCTTGGATTATAGTTGCCAGACTTAGCAAACTGCATGGGACAAACTTACTAAGATTTATCCATCACTTAAGATGGATAGAAACTAGAAACTAAAATTCCAGTTTAATGGGGCATCCTGTATTTTGTCTGTTAATTTTACTTTAATCCCACCTTTAGGACTCTACCTTACGGAAATATCTAGAGAAAAAGACAAATATTTCTGGACATTCTCTGCAGCAAAGCTATATATTGGTTAAAGATGAAGAAAAACCTAAATGTCAGTACTACAGAAATGGTCGCATAAATTCAGGCATGTCCATATAAGGTGGAAGTACATCATCATCGTTAACTACACAGTGAAGGGTAAAACCACGAACTGTTTCCAAACTCTGGGCAGACTGGGCTTTTGCTGGGGAACCCGCTTCAGTTAATCTCTTGGTTATATGATGGTAAACGCCCCCAGAAAGCTGAGAGGGGACATTTAAAACCAGATGCCAAACTGCTTTGCAGCCTGAGGCAAGGATTCAGGGAACAGTGGAGGCGGCTCTGGAAGTTTCCAGTGGGCCCCCAGCAGACGGTGACAGGCCAGCCCAAGGACAGAGAGAGTCAACAAGTGATGTTAGGAGAATTCTGGCTGGATATGGGGAGCAGTGAAATCCAATATCCAACAGTTTGGTCTGAAATTTTCGTTTTCTACACGGTAACATTACACATATAAGCTCACCGTCCCTTACCTGCCATTCTGAAAGCCCCAAAGCTCTGAAGACCAAAAGGTTTTGGTTTGTTTTCAAAGATAATGTTGGTGCCAAACTTATTCAGCAGTCTCACTGGACCTGATAGATTTGTAGTCTTTGTCCCACGTCATGTGGATATTCACACATCTTACTGTAGAAAGGTCAACGCACTCCTGCTCAAGACAGAATATATCCTAAGTATAGATGTATGCTCTCACCTTTCTGAAGTTTAATATGTTCTGGTTCTCAAATGCACCTGGACCCAGGGTTATAGACAGAGGGGCTAAGGACCAGCAATTCTCTTTATGTGTCATCAAGTTCCCTTTAAACACTACAGACGGAGTCAGTCAGGCTAGCAGAAATGGAGGGAGGGATGGGTGTCCACCCCTTGGGGGACAGTGGGCCTTAGAAAGCTCAGTTGTCCACACAGATGGGCAAAAGATGATCAGAGCGGACTGGAGAGAGGCCAGGCACAGCTTCGGGGAGCTAGAAGTATGGGAACAGCCAGAATTCCTGATGAACTCCAGAGAGACAGAGACCCCTCTGGCCTGGGATGGGAGAGAGAACAAAAGCCAACCGCAGGTTGGGAAAAGTGGGTGGAGGAGCAGATGCAGATTTCTGTCTGGTCGTGGCACAAGTCTAAGAGACCGTCGACGACGGTCTTCATCTGGCGGTGACATGAGGAGGTTTTCAAACCTAGATGGTAACAGGCCCACCAGAGACCCATCCTGCGGGCTTCCCCATCCTTCCCCAGGCAACGTCCGGCTGTATTCCCTAACGCTGCCTTCACAAAGGACTACAAACCTTGTGGCTTCCAACAAGGCAAGCATACAGTCTCACAGTTCTGGAGGTCAGAAGTCCCCAAGGGGTCTTGCTGGGCTCCAGCCGAGGTGCTGGTAGGACTACTTCCCCGGCTGGGGGCTCAGGGGAGGGCCACCTTGCTAGCCCCCAGCCCCTGGGCTCCTGACTTGCTTCCATCCAGAAAGCCTGACTCCCATGGGTCTGCCACCTCCTTCCTAAGGATGCCAGTGACTACGCTGGCCCACCTGGGCAATCCATGCCCCTTGTTCTCCCTATTTAAACTCTGCTGATGAGCAACCCTAATTCCATCGGCTACCTTCCCCTTGACCATGTACAGTAACAGTCACAGGATCCGGCGATTAGCACACAGACATCTTTGGGAGGCCACCACTCTCCCTCCACAGAGGTGTAGGTATGTTACAGAACACGAGGCAGGCAGCCTGCGTACTGAAAATACTGAGTAACACACGAATGCAATGAAGAATTCCTCAGCGTTCAGAGGGAGGCTCGGGTAGAAGACTGTATTGACCGAGGACTCCTGAACAGAGAGCCCGCTAGGACATCTGGCATGTAACCTGTCTCATTGCAAATGACTTGGACTCTGGACAAGGACATCCCAACCTCCTTGGTTTCCAACACCACCCTCTACCTCCCAGTTCAGTGCCCATTCCTGCCTTCCCCCCTCGGTGTGTACCTTCCCGTCTGGAATCAGTCTGCAGGGCTCTGGCTTTGGAAGACTGCATTTTGGCTTCCATCCTCAAACTCAGCTCAGGCAATCCCATGCTCCCTCAAGCTTCCCAGGTTCCTCCCTCCTGCCCTGGAATGGTTGATCTTAGATACCTCCTCAGCGGGCAAGCTCCTCACTTTCCCCCACTCCGGAATATCGGGAGGCTCCTAGAGCAGACCAGCTGGTCTCCCTGGGGAAGGAGACAGGCCACCAAAGCCATATATTTACAGCTTTGGTTACTCATCTGCCTCCGTCAGAGACTAGCAGATGTGTAGCCTTGATCTAGAGAGCAGGAGGGGGCTCACGAACCCTGCATCCTGCTCCAGGGACAAAGCGTACCAGGGCAAGGAGGTCTGAAGGGCAGGGGCGGCAATGAAGGGCTGGGTGAGGAGAGGAGCTGTTGTAAGAGACAAGGAGCAGTGGGGACAGCTGAGGATAGGGACCCCATCTGGGGATCGTAATTTGGCAAGTTGTACTTGTAATCCCACAGGAAAGAACTGTCCCTTGCACTCCTCCAGCCCTGGATGTCCCCCATCCCAGAGAGCGTGACTGGTGCCCACAGGCAGGCCGACCGAGTGTCTTAAGCTGCTGGCCTGCGGGGGAGGCCAAAGACTAGCTGGCCAAAGCCAGATAGGAAGCAACAAGAGCCTGGATGGTGCACAGATGAGGTAATAATCCCCAGGCAGTGTGGCCATTCGGAATGCCCTGGCATTATGTGGTTAGTATGTTCCCCAGTGGTTTCCCGAACAGGCCACAGTCCCACTCACCAAGCTCTCCTTTATGTAGGCAGCTGTGGGGCCCGGGATCTGGCTCAGGAGGGCTGCTCTCTCCTGGGGTTGCTCCAGCATCTCCAGGGCCAGTTTCAAGTCCTCAACGAGATGGAGCACTGGAAAGGGGTTTGTGTGGGAAGCCGGAGAGGCTCGCGCAGGCTCACAGCCACCGTCATTGGTATCTGCACCTGTCTGAGTGCCTGGAATAAGAAAGAGGTGGGAACCTGGTAAGAAGGGCGGATGCCATGGGCAAGGAACTGGCAAAGGGCAAAGAGAGAGGAGATAGGGGACAGAGATGGACAGGAAGCCCAGAAAACCACTTCCGCCTCAGCAGAACCATTCACACAGCAGACTCGGCAGAAATCATCTTTAATCCTGGACTGGGCCTGACAGGAAGAGACGGGACCAAGGTGGATGACTTGCCCAGCAAGAGTGATGTATAGAAGCTAAGAGCCCCAGACAACTGGGTGAAAACAGCCAGCCCTGATCAGGAGCCAAAACATGCCTGCTCAAACAATGAGCAGCCTTTCTGCTGCCTTTAGATTCCTTACTTTAAGTTAATGCTGTAGGGCTGTCTGCACGGTCCCCTCCCTGGAGGTGCATTCCTCTCCTCTGTTCCACAGCAGTTCCTCACTCTGGGCTGGCCCTGTACCGTGTCGCAGAGTGACGCAGTGCCACCTCTGGTGAGCACTGGTGAGCTTCTAGCAGACTGGGATTTTTCTAGATCTTCCCACTTGGGGGATCTCTACATCCCCTTATAGACTCCCACTTCACAGCTGTATGAGTGACCATATAATCCACATCTCATCCCCGTGTCATGGGCTGTGAAGCTCTGAGGCCAGGGTCCCTGGGGTCCCGGCTCCTGCCCCCAACCCCCCAAGATGCTGAAGGGGCATCTGGCTCTGCACACTTGCTTGGAGGAACAGCTAAGAGAGGGAGACAGCTTGGACTGGGTCAGCTCTAATTTCAAGTGTCCCAAACAAGACTTGTTTTTGCCTTTCTGAACCTCACCATTTAAGCAAACAAACAAAAAATCTTCTTTACATAAACACAGTCGTTTATTTTTCAGACCAAAAACCAGGGTGACACAGTCTGACAAAGGATTTCTGTGCTTCTTTCCGCAATAAAACACACTTCAGAAAATACGGGGTCAGTGGTGGAATTTCTAGGGTACTTGGATTGTTTATAAGGCCAGCGGGAATCAGGGCCCTGCTGGAAAATGTGGGCAATAGGGCCACCGCAGCCCCAAATACACGGCAGGCCTGATGTCTACATCTAGGTCCCTCCACCCTTCTAAGAGCCAGCTTCCTAGTTGCCACGGCAGTCCTCGCAAGGAAAAATCCACACAGAAGGAAACAATTACTATCTGATTGCTGGTTTGCTTTCTGAAAGCACAGGATAGAGGGAACTGTGGGTCACAATCCACAAACAAGTCCATGGCTCTGGGGAGCTGGGAAACTGCCCGTTACCCACACTCTGGTGTGTGCTCAGCAGTTTCTGGGCCCTGCAAATCCAATGGAGAGTTGACTGGGAAGGGCCACAGCCGGCTTCAGGGAAGAAAATGGACCGAAATAGAGCAAGACCCCCCATCCCTGCCACCACCCCAGTCTCCAAGCAAATGATGAGTGATCCCTGACCATCCCAGACATACTCCAACATGCACAGCTTCATTCATGGAGGATCAGTCAGGCCAGTCAGACCAGGGGTAGGCAGGAAGACCGAGATTTACATTAACCTTATGCTACGCTGTGGTGTTGGACAAGTCTCTTCCTTTCTCTGGGGCCCTCCCTGCCCTAAAGCCTTGGGATGCTTCCCTACTGTTCAAGGGGTGTGTGTGAGTGTGTACACATGTGTATCTGTGCCTCTTTTTTTTTCTGTGCCTATTTCTGTATGTGATGTATGTATACATAAAGTACATAATCCCCCCCTTCTTTTGTTTTGCAATTTACATCAACACATAGGCTCACAAAAGGGTCCAGAATGGTGAAACTCCTAGGGCCCAGCATTAGCAAAGGCAAAATCACCCAGAAGATTCAATTCCATACTCCACACATTCCCTTTGGATGATTAGTTCCTATGGAAAAATTACAACCACGGAGGGAACCAAATCAAAATGGAACTACCAGATACAACAAAGAAGAAGATATATGCCCTCATACCTGTGAGGATAATGGAGCAAGATAAAAGAGATGATAATATAACATATAACACAAAATATAAAAGAGACAAGGTGTTACGCCCCAAATTACTTCTCGGAAAAGAGCAATTCACCTTATACTCAACCCTAATAAAGTTTCTCTCTGGGGGCACTCTGTCACTTTATTGAACAACAAGGCACTCTTTGGGGAAGACAGATTAGCAAGAAAGGTTTCAATTTTATATGCACATTGAGTTTTACAAACTACAGATGCCTGGGCCCCACATCCAAGGTTCTAATTGGTCTGAGGTGTGACCTGGAAGAATAAAAAGCTCCCAGATGACTTGTGTGCAGCCCAAGCTGAAACCACTGCACCAGCAAATCACCACAATCGATACTGAATTTTGATGTTTAGGGAGGTCACCTGGGAATTTTTATTTTAAGGATAAAAACACCAAAGCTTAATACAGATTTAGTAATTATTAGAGGAAATAAGACCCCATAAAATGGAAGCATAGGATTTTACTGGAAGGCAAGTAAGTAGGTATGCGGTAATAACTAGGGTTATTTATAGATGCTTTGCTTCTCCTCTATTTGAGCTCATATAGTGGGATTAAGCGTTTGCCCCTTAAAGTTATTTAAGGCCATATGACTTCCTTTGGCCAATAAATATCAAAGTCTTTAAGAAACAATACATGATTCCCCATATCTCTTCTACCTGCTCTGGCCTCTGGTAATGGTGGAGACTGAGTCAGCCCACGTCCAAGAGAGAGGATGACAGGGACCAGAGCTCCCAGCAGATCTAGGGAGAACTTAGAAGATGAACAAGAAATAAACTATGCTGTTTCAAGCTAGTGATCTTTCAGGCTGTTATGCTGCAGTAACACACAGTCCTATCTTCCCTTATACAAAGTATGTATGTCATAGGGTCACATATGTGAAAGATAAACTTTTCAAAAATGACCTTTTAGTGGGTTCCAACTTAAGTGACCATCAACTTAATACAGACTCTATATGTGTAAGATGTTGACCACAAATCAAAGACAGGCAAAATATAAAGAGAAGGAATCCAAGTATATTAGTAAACAAAGTGAGAAAATTGTGAGAAAAGAGCAAGAAAATAAAGGAACAGAGAAGAATTATAAAACAACCACAAAACAAGTAACAAAACGGCAGTAAGTTCATACCTAACAATAATTATTTTGTAAATGGACTAAAAGCTCTGAACAAAAGACATAAGGTGGCAGGATGGATAAAAAACAAGACCCATCTATATGCTGCCTACAGGAGATGCATTTCAGACCTACAGACAAATGCAGATTGAAAGCGAAGGGATACAAATCATTTCTCATGCAAATGGAAGTGAAAAGAAAGCCTTGGTAGCAATACTCACATCGGAGAAAACAGACTTTAAAACAAAGACTATAACAAGAAAAAAAGGACATCACACACTCATAAGGGAACAATCCAACAAGAAGATGTAACAGTTGTAAATATTTATGCACTCAACATGGGAGCACCCAAATACATAAAGCAGCTAATAACAAACATAAAGGGAGTAACTGACAGTAATATAATAATAGTAGGGAATTTTAACACCCTACTTACATCAATGGATAAATCTTCCAAGCAGAAAACCAACAAGGAACAGTGGCTTTGAATGACATCTTGGACCAGATGGAGCTAAGACTGATATATTCAGAACATTTCATCTGAAAACAGTAGGGTACACATTCTTTTCAAGTGCATATGGAACATCGTCCAGAATAGATCACATAACAAGTCTCAACAAATTTAAAAGCACTGAAGTTATACCATGTATCTTTTCCAACCACAATGCTAGGAAACTAGAAATCAGCCAAAAGAAAAAGTCTGAGAAGAACACAAATACATGAAGTTAAATAACATGCTACTGAACAATGAATGGGTCAAAGAGGAAATTTAAGAAGACGTGGAGACAAATGAAAATGGAAATACAATTGTCCAAAATCTTTGGGATAAAGCAAAAGCTGTTCAAAGAGGAAAGTTCGTAGCAATACAGGCCTACCTCAAGAAGCAAGAAAAATCTCAAATAAACAACCTACTCTTATACCTAAAGGAGTCAGAAAAAGAACAAACAAAAGCCAAAGCCAGTTGAAGATAGGAAATAGTAAGATTAGAGCAGAAATAAACAACATAGAAACTAAAAAAAGAAAAAAAAACCAATAGAACAGATCAATGAAACCAGGAACTGGTTCTTGGAAAACATCGATAATATTAATAAACCTTTAGCCAGACACATCAAAGAGGCAAATAGAGAGAGAAAGGACTCAAATGAACAAAATCAGAAATGAAAAAGGAGAGTTAAACAACAAACACAATAGAAATACAAAGGACACAAGAGCATATTATGAAAAATTTTATGCCAACAAACTGGAAAACCTAGAAGAAATGGATAAATTCCCAGAAGCATATAACCCCCCAAAACTGAAACAGAAATAAACAGAAAATTTGAACAGACTGATTACCAGCAATGAAATTGAATCAGTATTAAAAAAAAAAAAAAAATCCCATGGGGACACCTGGGTGGCTCAGTTGGTTAAGCCACTGCCTTCGGCTCAGGTCATGATCCCAGCGTCCTGGGATCGAGTCCCACATCGGGCTCCTTGCTCAGCGGGAGCCTGCTTCTCCATCTGCCTCTGCCTGCCACTCTGTCTGCCTGTGCTCACTCTGACAAATAAATAAATAAAATCTTAAAAAAAAAAAAAAAAAAAAAAATCCCATGAACAACAACAACAAAACTCCCAACAAACAAAAGTCCAGGACCAGATGATTTCACAGGTAAATTCTACCAAACACCTATAAAGATGAGTTAATACCTAGTCTTCTCAAACTATTCAAAAAAAAAAAAAAATAGAAGAGGAAGGAAAGCTTCTAAATTCATTCTGTGAGGTCAGCATTAATCCTGATACCAAAACCAGATTAAGACACTACAAAAAAAAGAGAACTACAGGCCAGTATCTCTAAAGAACATAGATGCAAAAATCCTCAAAAAATATTAGGAAACAAAATCCAACAATATTT